ATTTCATGCAGCCTCAGCTCCGAAGTTTCCGGCTGGTGGAGCCAGGAACTGGGGCCGGACCCTTCTGCCCCCCTGCCCTGCACTGGAGCTGATGGGCACATGTGAGCAGGTCTGGGCTGGCACTGTGTCCCCCTCCTGTGGGGTACTGCATGGCCACAGTGCTCTTCTTCCTGGGCAGGGGGTGGCAGTGCCTGGGCCTGGCTGTGCCCTGGCCCATGGCAGCCTGGCTGTGCCTGTGGGAGCTGAGGGGCAGCTGGACCTCTGCCCTGGGGCTGCTCCCCTCTTACAGGGTCCTGGTACAGCAGAGGGGGGACAGGAGGTTCCAGGACAGCATGTGGCTGCTTGGAAAAATGGTGGTTTTCCCACGGCAGCAGGTGGCCCTGCCTGCCCACCCACCCTCCTTTCATGCTGACACTGTTGCCCCTCGGGTCTTGCCTGGTCTCTCCAGCTCTTTGCAGTGCTTCCCACTGGAGCATCCATTATCTGGCTGTCCCCAGCCCCTGCCCTCTCTTTTGTGAGGACAAGGAGCATGGCAGCTGCCACCTCTGACCTCTGCTGCTCTACACCTCCTTCCTTGCTTCGTCCCAGAGGGATGATCCCACAGGGTCCCCCCGAGCTGTGTTGGCCTCTGGTGCACAGAAGGGAGCAGGGACCTGCCGCCACCTCCCTCGGTTCTTGTGGCCAGCACAGCTTGTCTCTCCCGGGGCCAGGGATGTCCCTGACCTTGTTCTGCCACCGCAGCCAGGGGGCTCTGTGGCCGGTGCCTGCCCGGGGCCCGACATACTGCTTGGTATGGACAGCACCACGTTTGGGTAATGAAATATTCACAGGTCAGTGATTCCTTGAGAAATGACGGAGATCAGTCAATTCCTTTTCAGGGAGTAATTTTCTTCCCCTTCGTGGCCTCTGTTGCATGTTGACAGTCATTAGCATGAGCGGGCGGCCGGATCGAAGCAGGCACGTCGTGGCTGTCACACAGATGAGCTGCACTGGGCATGGCCTCGCAGCAGCCTGTGGTGACAGCACGGACGTGTGGCCCTGAGTGCCTGGGAGACACGTGGGGCCATGTGAGGACCTTCCTGCTGCCGTTGGGGCATTTGCCTAGCCCATCTATGGCCCCCAACACAATGTGGCCACTGCCCTGCCCCAGCCCATCCCCAGCTCTGCCGTGCTGGCTGGCGCGGAGGGTCCTGCTGCAACGTGCTGCAGACCTGTTGCAGCAGCTCAGGTGGCCTTAGGGAATTGCTCAGCAGAATTCTCTGTGCCCAGCTCTGACCTCGGGCTGTCTTGCTGTGTGGCAAAGGGACACCCTGACAGTGAGCGAGCAACAGGAGCCAGGCTAGTCAGAGGAATGCGCCTGCTGCCTGCAGGATTTGCTGCCCAGTCACATTTGGTGGTTTGGAGGATCATCTTGGTGGCCTCCCTGGGCGCTGTGATGGGGTAGGACCCCCAAACCCTGGCTGCATCTGTTGGGGGGTGCCTGGTTCCCAGTGGAGGGAGCAGGACAGCCTCAGGCATGAGGAGCCAGGGCTGGGCTGGACTGGCTGCTGGTGGATCCACTTTGCCTTTGCTTCCTGGACACCCGCAGCTGCCAGCTTCTTGGGGTGTGCAGCTCTCATGTCTCCCTTCTCATATCCCCTCTCTCTCATAGGGATCCAAAATCTCTGAGGCTTTTGGAGGGAACCTGGCATATTTGCAGTGGCCATGGGGTCATAGGGGAGGCAAGTAGCCCTGAAACAGGCTGGGTGTAATCCACCACCATGTGTGCAGGCTCTGGCTGAGCATGGGCACGGCTCACTGTTGGCCTTGCAGGGCCACCATGGGGCCACCACGGGGCCACCACGCTGCCCATCTGTGGCCAGAGGTGGGTGGCAGCAGGTGATGGTTGTTTGTGAGGGATCAATAACTCAGAGAGCTGGCACATTGCACCATAGCATCTGTCACCGGTGAGGTGTGGTGGCACATCAGGGCCAGTGGGTGCCTTCTTGTTAGTGCAGGTGCCCTGAGCATGGCTAATTGCTCAGACATGTCCTCTGCGGTCGGGGGCTCCTGGTGCGTTATTTTCTTAAAAAGGAGCAAATGTTAAAAATGGCATCGTCAGCCCCGAGCTGACAGGCACAATCACCAAAGTGCGGCGTCGGCAGGAACCAGCCCCACGCGCTAAATGACTTGAAAGGAAATGGCCTGGATTGTGCTGAGGAGGCAGAGTGCGGTGGGGAGAAAGCAAGTGGAGCAAACAAAAAAACTTCATTAATTAAAGAAACTCGTTAATGAGGGACATTTAATCAGCTAAAGATGATATCCACCCCCTGCCTGCTGCAGCAGCCGCTGCGCAGAGCTGGTGGCACTGGGCTGAGCTGTAGGCCAGGCAGGAGACACTGTGGAGGGGACACTGCACAGGGGACCTTGGCGTCCCACTGGCTCTGCTTTCCAGGGCTGGGTTCAAGGAGTGACGTCCTACAGCGAGAAACAGGACGTCCTACAGCTGGAGGGAGAAACCCACTCCCAGGGGGCCCCAGGGGGCTCCGTGGGCCCCTCAGTGCACTGCTTTGCCAAGGAGCTGGGAGGCAGAGGGACACCTGCCAGCCTGCGGGACTCAGCAGCCTGTGCCATGCATCCCAGCACCACATCTCCCTGTCCCAGCCCCTCTGCTGCCGTCCCCATGGCTGTGGCATTTTGGCACAGGGCAGTGCCACAGCCCTGCCAGTACCTGGGCAGACAGGCAGCACGAGTGGTGGGGTGCTGCTCTTGCCCCCTGTGCTGTGTTCAGTACCACTGGCTTTGCTCTGCTTTCAGGCACTGCACTAATCTATCTCATTTACTGAGGGCTGTGGGCCATTAATAATCACAATTTCTTCTAATGCGAGTGCAAAAAGCTGCCCCACAACGCATTGTGCAGGGGCATCCCATGTGTCCTGGGAGGGATGTGCTGTGCGTGAGCAAGGGACGACTGTTGGAGCCCCTTGTCCCGAGCACCCATGGGCTGACACTGCCCCATGGGCTCCTTGCTGTGCCAGGTATCCTAACCTGGGAGCACCCAGCTGCCACTCCTGGAGTGCAGGGGTGGGTCTCCAGGACTCCCAGGCACTTGGCACAGGGAAGGACCCAGGGAAGGGGCTGCCCCAGGGCTGAGGCCCCAAGAACCCTCCTGGCAGGAGTAGAGGGTCCTGAGTGCCCAAGGCCAGGGCTTTTCCTGCACTGCCAGCATCCAGAGTCGCAGGCAGCGTGGGGGGCAGAGCCCAGCAGCAGCCATTTCCCTGTGACACCAACAAGCAACTCGTAGCCAAACCAGTCACCATCCCTGTCCCCGGGGCCCTGGCCCCAGCAGTCCCTATCCCTGCCTGGGGTGGACGGACAGCACTGGTGGGAGGGAGGTGCGGGGAGCCATCGATCTGCACCTCTGCAGCACCAGCAGCCCCAGCGACAGCAAGCAGCAAAACCAGGGAACCTAATGGTCCCTGAATGAAATAATACTCGTACTGACAAGCACTGCAACAGCCCTAATTAATAACAGATATGAACGTGGCTGTCGTAACAGGCTGGCGAGGAGCCAGCAGGACCCAGGACCTGGGCAGGTGGGGATGGTCCCTGTCCCAGCACCATCTGTGTCCCCCTTCCCACCAGCTCATCCTGCCTCGGCAGCAGGGCCCATCACCACTGCAATGGTGGCTGATCCTGCCAGTGGTGGAAGCAAGGATGAGTGTCCAGTCAGGAGTATGTGGGAGTGCAGCAGGCTATGTGCACACAGGCAGGGAAAACTGGGTGCTGGGATCAGGGATGCGAGCAGGGAGGGCTGGGCATTGGGAGCATGACCACAGTGACCATTTGGTGTCTGCCTGCTCCCCAGCACAGGCTCAGGTGCTGGAGCCAGGTGAGGTTTGCAGCTGCAGTGCAGGCAGGAGCTCTGCCCTGGCTGCCCAGCTCGGGGGGCAGCATCAGCAGTGTTGGCCTGTGCTGGCAGGTGCATCTGGCCGGCGTGTCCCCGGGCAGCTGAGTCAGCAGCGAAGGTGCTGGCAAGACTGCCCATGACTTGCAGATCTGTAGCAGGATTATTCACTCTGGGTTCGCATGTGGTCTCCGCCATGGCCCCGGCACGACAGCCCTGCCAGCTGGGGGACAGCGGCCGGCAGAGCAGCTCCCCCGCCTCCCTCCACAGCATAAATCGGCTGCACACACAATTAAGGAGCTTGTCTCCACGGGCTGAGCCACAGATGCATTTCATGGGTGAGAGGCAGCCACGGTGGGTTGTAAAGCATCCGAGGGGCTGCCAGCAAGGGCTGCTGCCTTGTGCCATGGCGGGCATCTGTGTGCTGCAGCGGGTGCAGCACACCTGTGTCCTCGGCAGGAGGGCTGTGAGGATGAATAGGAGGTGGGTGTGCAAGAGAAGGATGGGCTGGCAGCCCCCCACTATCCCCCCTAGCAGACAATGGGCAGCCCCTGGCACAGGTGCAGCTCACCCTGTTTGACCAGGGTAGCCAGGCCAGCTGCGTTAAGTGAAGAGCCTAATCAAATATTTAGCAGTTAATTGATCCCAGTCTGGTGTTTTCAAAGGGGCCATCAGCAGCCCTCCTCTCCTTGGATGCCCCTCCCTGCCTCCCTAGTTCTGCTCCCCTTCACTGCCACCACTGTCTTGGGGACACTGGGTTTGCTGCTGGCAAGCACTGATGCTGTGCAGCTCCCCATGAGCAGTGCTGCCAGCCCTGCTTGGCTTTGCCCCATGTTGGGCCCCAGACCAAGGTCTGCCCCTGTTTCCTTCCCTGTGGCATGGGCAATGTGCAGGAAGGTCTGTCCCCCAGATGCCCATGCACACTGGGAGGAAAAGGCCCCAGACTGGGTGAGGATGGAGGCTCACCTGTGGGTGATGCAACTGCAGCAGAGGCAGCCCTGGGTTTGGCGTAGAGACACCGAAGGTGGGGGCGTGGTGGGGCTGGGGGGCCTGGGGCTGGCTGCGAGGACCTGGACCCTTCCCTGGGGCAGGTTGCAGCCCAGACATCCTGGCGATGTCGGTAGGTAAG